TTTAATTAATATTGGAAATAGCTACTAAAATATGCGCTAATTATATATGCGTTTCTCTTCATTAGTAAAATGTGTATATTATATACTGCCATATTCGGACCGTTAATAAAACATTCAATGCAAAATGAAAGAGGGTTACAAATATTTCAGCATACATCATGTGAGATATGCCAAAACAAATATGCGAGAAAAATTCATCGCCTCTTTTCAATTTTTATATTTACCTTTTTTTTCGATTTCAGTTATTTTGCTTTAAAAATCTAAGAAAAACATTAGAAAATATCTCCAACATAAACACGTTTTTAATGATGAAATACTTGGTTATTTTTCCGAATTTCCTTAGTTAATTTTAGATATTTGCTTATAAACGACAAGAAACAGAAACGAAACTAAAAAACGAGGAAAACAAATAAAATTTAAATGTAGGGTTACCCACTAACAAGCAAGAAATATAATGTTTGTTTGTTTTTTTTTTGGTTTTGGTTTTTTTTTTTTTTTTTTTTTTTTTTTTGTTTAAGAATATTTTTGAGACCTATATTCGCGATTTTATATCGGGGGTTGAAATCTCCCTAGGGCTTTTCTCTGATCTTTTTCTCGACTTTCGCTTTTCCTTATTAGATCGATTATTTGTTATTTAGTGAATTATTTTTATAGAAGTTTTCGATGTCACTAAGTCTCATTAGCGAGGTAAGTTCTATACATTTCCACATACATATGTTCAAGCAAAGGTATTTTTTCTTCATGCAGAAGCATAGGCACTTTATTTATATATATATATATATATATATATATATATATATATATATATATATATATATATATATATATGAACAAAAAGAAGTAGAGTAAAAGAGTGTAGCTGTGTTATGCGTAATGTAAAAGATTCATAGCATATTGGAATACATTTTTGTGAATTTTATTCGATTTTATATGTTTCCTATTAATGTATTTCTAAGTGTGCACGTGTGAGCATGTATCTGCGCACATAGATAGATATGCATATAATCGTAATTGAATGTAGCTATACTGTCTTTTTGTGTTTTATTGCAAAAATATAAGTAAATGTTTGTATCGTAAATTAATAAAAAAAAACATTAAATTAGGTAAATGAAATATAGACCCAGTTTCGACGATTCATTAAAGCAACTGCTTCCAAAATGCAGGTTAAAATAGGCACAGTACTACATTCACTAGTTTCTCTTTCGTTCTTCTAACAAACTCTTCTGCTGGTGGAGAACATAAGAGAAATTGCTATTATAAAATATCATAAATAAATAGGAAGGACCATTTTTTGAAAAATTTCATTTAGGAAACGACATTATATTCGGTTATTCGGAAGGACAATTTTATGAAACAGTATCTACAGAGAATTACAAAAGTGCTCCAGTCATATTAAACTGCGATCTACATATCAACATATTTCTGTTTGAAAATATATCCCCCTCCCCCAAAAAGAGACCATATATTTTGCCAATATTAAAATATATGCAGAAATGGGGTAAATGCAGTGGGTAGTCAGCTATATTTATAGACGTACTTCTTGTTGTGGAGTATTTTCACAGTGGAGGCTTGTATTTCTAATAAGTCGTCCGAAATTAGGTCCGACGTACAAAACGTTAGGAACTTGGAAAATAAGAGTCAATGGTGCAGCAATCTGGTTGTGATGGTTGGTACTTCAAATGTCCGAATCTCGACTGCTCAACACCATTCGGTATTTATCATTTCACCCACGGGAAACGAATATGGCACAAGGCCGGTTTTATTGTGGGTTTCTCCGGGCCCGTAGGCTCGGCCAAAAAAATAGCCTTTGAAGCCGATTAGACGGGTTCAGGCCCTGTCTACCTCCCCGGACGAAACCTTGCCCTTCGGCAAAGCCTCGTCCGGGCTCCTCTCTGCTAACGCAGAGAGTTCGACAGGAGGCGTGCGCAGTCAGAGACCGCGAGACGCCATTCTGCCAGACTTGCCACTGCTACTCCTACTTATTATGGGAGAGTTCATTACAATGGAATAGGTACTATGGCATAACACCTCTGTAGTGGGTTCCATTCAAACTCTCGCTTCTCAGACGAAGTACATTCCTTAGTTTCACCAATTCTAACCTTCACAGGTAAGATCCGCTAAGCACATATTAAGGAACCACCCTCATTCCTTTTGTATTCCATTGTTGTGATGTATGTTCCACTCGAGCAGCATCTTCCCACAAACCGTTGCATTGTGGGGCCGACTCCCAAGAAGAGGCTTCCCCGATCCCAACAATCTTAACCAGTCCAAGTTTAGGGTTAACCGTTTTCCTCCTCAAATATCCGCATAAACTGTACCTCTTACTGTGTAAACCTCTAGCCGAGTGGCTCTCGGGCCTTGTACAGTGTGAACACCATACTAAAAAGATTGTCAGAGGTGTAAATCTCTCAGCCTATTACTACTGACCTCTTTCCACACTAGCTTTTTTCGTGTGATAGTTTTTTTTTTCTGCTCCCCTTCAGAACGTGGCTCTCCACAATTTCTCTGTCCTTTCTAGCTCTTAATAAACTTTGCTCTTTTGGTATCTTTCTTAATCCCTGTTCTGGCAACCATTTACAAAGGCACGTTATCTAGATTATACACAGCTTTCCTCTGTTCCTCTTGTCTTCAATATGTACTGTGAGTATCAAATTTTCTTAGCCTTCTTTCCTCATTATTTGTCCCAGAATTTTCAACTGTCTCTGTCTGACTAAAAGTACACGTATCCTTTTTCTTTCTATTTTCTCTGAAACTTCGTCGTTGCTGACATGTTCAGCCCGTTGTATTCGCAACACTTTTCTGTAGAACCACATTTTTGTTGCCTCAAGTCTCTTCTTCATTTGTGAGGAGATTTTCCAGCATTCACTATCATATAGGAAGACTGATATTGCATGGCATATCAGTAACTATTTTCTTTCTTCTGACAAAATACTTCGTTTAGCTTTTAGGATGCAAGTTTCGATATTCCAGTGGGCATTCTGATTTCGGAGACGCATTTTCAGTCCTCTGTTAAAACACTCCATAGATATTTACATGTTTGTACTTGCTGGAATTAAGTATCTCCAATTTGTAATTTGCCTGTTGGGTTGTTTAGTATGAGACCGTCTACTTGAGAATCTGCTGTGTAAATGTTTTTTTTCTCTATTATATCACCGATATTTCTTTAAGTTATATTTCTTATCATTATTTTGTTGTGGTGTTGTAAGATATGTTGGCAAGTGTCACCGTGAAATGTAATAGCAATCAAGAAGGAAAGCTGTGTTCTTATAAACAACACTCCACATGAAATATGCACAAAATATGAGAGAAATAAGTCAAGCTCCATTAACATTAAATAAATATTTGTATTATAACTCAATATACAAACATCAACAATAAACATAAAAAAGTTACTTCCCTTTTGTCTGTAATAAAACGGGTGAATGCAGTTAAGTAATGTTGAGTAACAATATTAAATGTTAATTAATTATAAAGTTCAATTAATGTTCTTAGCTCAATGAAGAATAATTCCACAGTCTGTGAGTGTGAAAAGGTGTAATGTGCACAAGTGATATTAATAGAAGTTAATAAGATTACTCGAATGAGTGATAACTAAGAATTAAAATGTTATAAGTAATATAGCGCCGTGCCGTATATTCAGAGAATTGAACTGCTACTGCTGTTGGTTAACAGCGAGAGAGTTTATATAGGTATGCATAGGCTCAAGTGAGCTTGGCGCCAAAAAATATTAGAAAGATACTAAAATACGCGATTGGCCAGGAAATGGACCAATCCGTGATTTTAGAGAAAAGTTCAAATAATGTGCGATGGCAAAATTGTCATATAGTAAGTATCATATATTTATGAACCAATGACATTAAAGAAAGCGGAGGTGTGGCACATGTAAGTGATCACCACAATTTTGTTATTGGCCACCTTACTCTGGTAGTGAATCTGCTCTTAATTCAAGAAAGTTCATAGATGCTGATAATGGCCGTGAAAGCATTGATTGTTTTGAAGTAGCGGTCGATTCCTTTTGCAGATATAAGGTTATGTAAAACTGTTCTAGTCCTAATCCTACAATTTCACTATAAACAAATGAACATTACGTCGTTCTTTGTTTACAACTGATGAATGGTGCATAATGAATATATTGGTTATTTGATATTATTATTTGAATAACTGCCTTAAGTGGAATCGGCTTTAATAGCGTGTCTTGGTGTAAAATGATTTATAAAATAAAAATCTTGACGGCTGTTTCTGTGTCGTGTCATTTTATAGTCCACTATTTACAATAGTTGTAAAAGAAACACAGCTATAAGAAGTCCCTGCCTCTGTGATAGTTTTCATAAAGATATGATCGAACAACGTTATAATTATTGGGTGTGCATATGGTGTAATGGATAACGATTCAGAATTATTAATCGATGAGCCGTGTTCCATATTCCTGTTGGGTTATCAAATATTGGGAACTTTGTTTTACAAAATTCAATGTCTGAAAGTTTGAACGCTGAATTCGCACTTTTGGGGATATTTTTTCACAACTGAATTCGCTCTTTACAAGGCCCAAGAGCCACTCTAGGTAGAGTGTTACAGAATAAGAATCACATTTTATAGGGATATGTAGGGAAGAGAACGGTTGACCACAGACTTTAACAGGTTAAGATTAAAGTGACCAGGGAAGCATCCAAAACAGATAACAAAATATCGCAAAGAGCATTCCTATGAAAACATGTTCTTAATCATTGTTAATTGGTTGATTTGGCTTCTACGACTTCTCAACCCTTTGAAGGTTATTTAAAGCCAGAAAATATTTTTAGATTGGATATTTTTAGTTAATAATGTTTTAGTGATAGAAGTCTTTTCAAATTCACTCATAGCTGACGGGAGAAGAGGTGGTTGCATACCTTCCACAAGCGTATTTGTGCATAAGTGAACATAATGAACCCAAAGGGAATTGAAACTTGGGCTCCTTGTTTAACAATTCCGATCCATTATCATTTCACCACCTGCACAAATAAAATCTTCCCAAGCCGCCACACATCTAGGTACTGACCACGCTCAACATTGCTTAACTTCGGTGATCGTACGGAAACCAATATTTCGATGCCATGTGGACGTAAAGCCGGTCTCAATTATGTTTTTTTTTTTTTCTTAAGTGATGGTAACGATATAAAATAACTGAATAAATGAAGTTGCACATTGCTTTCATTGTAGCTCTGGCCACATCCATCTAAAAGCTTCATGACGTTACTCCTCTGTACTAATTAATCAGTTGTCTTTGGTCATAGACTTTGTATCTATCTGCAAACCCGCTCGAACTCCCTTCTCTTCTAAGAAACCAGCATCATGAGAAGCTTTAAACCAGTTATTTTAACCGGCAATAAGAGAAAATCTACACTTGTTAAACTTTCAAAGAACTGTCCTTTCTGTCTTTGACGTTGCCAACATCGTTAGTGATTTTCCTTTGAGAGTGAATCAGCCCAGCTAGACGAAGTTTTAACCAATATCACCAATATTACTTCTAAGTATCTTTGAAGACAGCGCGACCATACGGAGTTTTGGCAGAGTGAGACATATCCGAACGGATTGGAATCTGACAGTTTATTAAGGTACCACCCACAAATGAATGTTCTGGACGCAAACAAAAACGATGTCAAGAACAATGGAAGTCGTAAATTGCACGTACTTATAAGATAGTGATCAGTTTATTTTTTATTCTTTTGTTTAATAAATTGTTTTAGTTTTTAAAGACCTTATTGGAAGTAGATTTAATCAATGCTATAAAAACGGACATATCGGAGAAAGAGTGCAGAAGATTTGACAAAAGAAAACACAGTGAATGGCAATAAGAATATTATACTGAAAACACCGGACGGGTTTTCGTTTTTCATTCCTTATTCAAAGTTCGATTTTGGGCACTTCGACCTGGTGTCTCGCTATATCAATTACAACTGATTAGCGAGTTCTATTCCCACTTGGTGCGCCACACATTCGGGCGTGTGCCACATATAAGCTACACTTAGAAAATCTTTTACGGAACTTCGACTTCGTGTAATGGTTAACAAGTTTATCTTTCTAGGTTAGTTACGACAGAGTAGTGAGTTCCATCCTCACTGGATGCCACATATTTTTCGCCTTCTTTCCCCTCTGAGCTACGCTTAGAAAATCACCATCGGAGCTCGATCTAAGAATTAAAATATTGTGTACAACGAATTCATGCCTTTCTTATAGCACAAGCGATCTAACTCCTACGAGAGAGTAACGAAAACAGGTCATATCCTGTTATATACCAACCTATGAAAACTAATGGGTGTGTCCCAATCCTCATAAATACGTGGGACATTATTGTAAGTGGGGGTAATATGCTGTCTAAGTAGTCCACCACGAGCAGTGGTTTACCTACTTCACGCCGCTGGCGAGTATTGTATTTTGTTGATGTTATAAAGATTACCATTTTCATTTCCAACCTCCGTTTTGGTTATTCCTCAGTCAGTAACCTTTCCTAGGTTACAACATATCTAATAATAAAAAATACAGCCATATCAATATTTTATCTCGTTATTTTTTCATCTGTAGAGATATTTTCTTTTCTACACTTTTCTCTTTTTTATATAAAAATATATTTATTATTATAGCATTTATTATTCAGTGTTTAACTGTTGTTGTTTTTTATTCCAGTAGATATTAGATATTTATTTATATATTATTTTAAATATATTTTTATTTTCCCGCATTCAACGTGAATTGTCTATATTACGAAATCTCTCTGAAATATATTAAATCGTTACTCTAAAGCACGTAGTTTTTTCTAACACTGAATATATATCCCTAAAGTTTTCGTACTTAATATTAGATAAACAGGCGGTCTCTAGCGACATTTGACAGATTTATACTGAAGCATTACTTTCAATATGCAACTTAAAAAATAAAACATGTGATCTTTGACACATTGGCAGTTTTAGCGTTTGGCATTTCCTTAAATTTTGATACTTAACACACGAATGGTTGAAGATCTCTAACGAAAGCATTTCTCCAGAAATATTACGTAAAATATTATGAAAAAAATGTCACAGTCAATCTTGTGTTCGATGGCGCCCACCTTAATAAGTATGTTAAGGGCCACTGCTTTAGTGTGGTGATTAGCAAATTGATCCTGAAGACTAATATAAGGTACAAATTTCGACTCTTAATAGTTTCTTCTCTCTTCGATAAGTGAAAGAAAAATGAAGAATTAAGATGCATCAATGAACGATGGCGCATTGAAATTAAGAAAAATATATTCTAAAAGTTTAGCAAAGTATTAAGAAACATGAAAATATAGTTAAAAAAAAAAGAAAAAGAGTTTAACCTCTATGCAATATCGGTCCTCTTCTTTCGGTCCCGTCCTGGGTATGACGATAGACTATATCCGCGTCCTGGGTAAGACGATAAACTACGTCCAACAGCAAGGCTTCTGATCAGGAGGCTTTGAGGAGCATGGAACCACCTCTTAATTGCTGGTGTTTCCAGGTCCACCCTGACCCGGGGTGAGAGCACCTGTTAGGGTCCCAGCTATGGGTAAATAGTTAACCCCAAAACTGAGATAAAAAAGCATTATGAAAGTGTAAAAATAGGTTTTAATACCAGAAATACTTGTAAAAAATTATTACCAGCAATACGTTTTTGAAAATAACATTACTAGCTATACAATTTTGAGGAAAAAATATTACCTAAAATAGATTTTTGACAAAACAAAAATGTTACCAGGAAAAAAAAAAGTTGTCGGCATTAAATGACCCATTTTGGTTGATATGCAGTAAACCAAACCAAACCAAACCAAACCAAACTATTGGTATGAATCTATTTCAAAATTTTCTTGGCAATAAATGACCCAGTGAGGTTGGTATGCTATAAAACAACCAACAACCAACCTCTTTCGGGCAGATGATCGAGTTCGTGTGTGAAGGATATCAAGCTTTTGATCCGGTTTATTTTTTACACTATCGTCAAATTAATACAAGACACAAGAGCCCCTCAAAGTTGAATGTTACTAAATGAGGTTGTTGTTTGGACGCATTTTAATAAAAAGAGATTCTATGAACAATTAGGAATGTTAACGGTTGGCCCTAGACTTGAAGTTGCTAAGATTGTAGCGGTCGGGGAAGCATCCCGTCGGGAGTCTATTCCACAAAGCAGTGGCTTTTGGTAAGCAGTTGTTCGAATGGAACTTTCCCTTTCGCTAGTGGAATGTGAAGGGAATGAGAACGATTCCATCCTGCATCGATAGCATGACAGGGTTTAGCTGTAATGGTTTGTTCCAACGAATGTGGCGCGTCTTGAACATTTTCCCATGTAAATTGTTACAGAGGTGAGAAGGCTTGCGATATTTCTTCTGTCGGGAAGGGGTTGTAGTATGGAAAATAATTCATCACTCACAAGGCTTTTAACCTCTGCCAAAGCTGTAAAAAGAGGATTAGACAGCTCCAGCCTAGATATAGCAGCAATAATCCATTTTTGCTCTGATATAAATCTAGTGAATATAGAGGATAACAGGTGGAATTAGTTACTGCAACGGTACCCGAAACAAGCGATTTTGAAGCAGCTTTAGCGATGGATCTTGTATAAGGGTCCCACTTCAGGTATGGGGTGAAGTTGAGGCTCAATAGACATCGGGTTGCTTCAGACTGTATTAATCTTAGTCGATAAATATTATTTTTTTTGTCTCTTTTTATTTATTCTTCTTTTTTCTTCTTTTGTTCTTCTCATTCCTCAGTTTAATAACTTTATTTATTGTGCGTTCGACCTTTTCACACCTTTCTTTCTGAGATCTTAATATTTCTTTTCTTTGTTTCGCTTTCTTACTCTCACAAGGTGTATCTGCGCGCCCATCTTCCGTTTGATCTTGTCCACCTTGAGTTTGCACCTTTTGATGTAACTGTAACCATTTTATCGCATACTGTTCTATTTGTCAGTTCCATCTTAGTGGACCAGACTGTCCACTAAGATGAAACTGTCATTATCTTTGCTCATCTATTTTATCTTTCCTTTTCACACATAACTCTTTCTTTTCTTCTGTACTTTTTTTTCTGCGACCCCATTCTCAGTACTCTCTCTCTCTCTCTCTCTCTCTCACGTCTTTTACTTATCTTTTTTACTTTTTCTTTTTATCTGCCTTCATCTCTTGATATTTTCCTTCTTTCTCGTTAGTCTCTTTCTTATCTTTTGTTTGTTACTTCCGTTTTCAACACTTCTCTCTTTTTTTATTTCTTCCCTTATTCTTGCTTTTGTCTTTCTTCTTCTTCTTCTTTTAACAATCACTCTCTATTTATTTACCTTTGTTTTCCCTACGTTTAAACCAGTTTCTTATTTTTTATTTTCGACTTTCCCTTCTGTCATCATCATCTCCATCTTTGACCATGTTCCTTCTCACTATAATCTTACTCTCCTCTCTTCGCAGATTTCATAAGCCTTTCTCTCTTTTCGTTATCCTATCATAGTCTCTTTTCAGTATGAATTCGTCTCTGTTGTTTTTCTGCTTTAGTCAATAATTCTCTCACATAGACTGACCTTTAAAACATTCTGTAACTACTGTCTCTCTCCTACTCTTCTTTTTCTCATTTGCTTGTTTCTGTGTACCGCCTATTATTCGCCATTCTTTACCCAATTTATGTATTTTTCTTTCACTCTCTCTTCTCTCTAATTTTATTCTTTTTTCATGTCATTTCCTTTCTCTCACTCATCCACTATCTCACTCTCTACTTTCCTTATATATTCTTATTTTCTACTATCCTCTTGAAAGAGAGAGAGATGATTTTACCATTCCACATTCCTTAAAATTTCTCTCCAATTCTTTAATCGTTTCTTCCTTTCTTCCCTAACTTCATCTTCTTTTCTTTCCCGTCGGATGTCTTCCTACATTACAACCGCCTCCATCTGCAGTCTCATATCAACTCCTCCTCTCATTCAATGAAACCTTCACCGTTCCACTGAAAGACACGCGCGCTTACGGCGCCATCGGCCCTCGCTGATGCTTCGTGACCAGAACACAATACCAAATGATTGAAATGGCATGCTGCTTATTTTGGGTGAATTTGAAAGGACCAGAACCTTTCTCTTCATTCACAGCAGCTCCATACA